TCGGTGGTCCATATTTTATTGTTATCGGACATGCTTATCTAAGGGAAACAGAGATACAGAAATTTAAATGCTCAGAATGTTAACTCTTGGTTGTGTTTCCTATCAGAAATCTCAGAAATCTTGAGGATTGGACCTGGGAAAGAATAAAGAACAACAGTATCTTTGGGAAACACGACAGGAATACAGTGCTTATGTATATATCCTCAAGGAACCCTTCAGCATCCCCGACTACTCCTGGATATTGGACCTGCTTTGGCAAGTTCAGGTACCCCAACTCTGTGGGAAGATGAAAAATGGCCCCAGAATAAAGCTCTATTCCCAAAGCCGGGCTCAGTAAACCTCGTGGTCTTAATATAGCTACTTTGGGCACAGAAAGGACTGAGCCAGTCTAGCATAGATTTATCAGATGTCTAGGTCCAGGGAGTGTAGAAGCACAGAACCTCCCAAAAGTTTAGCACAGTGTATGCATAATATGTCACCGGGAAGGCGGGAGTGCTTACCACCTCTGCCTGCAGATTCTCTCCAGAGCAATTTATTTTAAGTTAAAGTGTGCCAGGGTCTGTACAGAGTAGTTTAGGTTCATTATCCCATTTAAGCCTCATGAAACCTTACGAAGTAGGTATCAAGGTTCAGTGACTCGTCCAAGATCAGATCACCCAGCTGCTAAGAGGCAGAGCAGGAGTTCCAACACAGGCCGTCTGACTCCAGAACTTTCACTCTTAACCACCAAACTGAACAGCAATCCTGTTGTCCTGCAAGTGACCCAAAGGACCACCTTGTGTATAAGGCTTCCTCTCTTGTCTCCTCCATCACTTCCCACCATGCTGAGACTTGCTCATCTCTCCCTGGCCTCTGCTCTGCTCCCAGCAGACTGGCCACAGACAAAGCGTGCAGCTCCTTACTGCTTGAGGGATAGGCGTGTGCCACTAGGAAATCAGCCAGCTGCTCCCCTGAGAGAAAAGCAAAGAGAAAACGGCTCCTTTGCTACTCTCCTGATTTATTGCTGTACCCACCACAGGGTCTAATATGATGCCTAAGGTTCATTCATTACTCATTCATGCATGTTCAACAAACTTTGTTGATGAGTCCCCTGTCTGAGCTGCACAAATATTATCACTATTAGTAAAATTATTGATTATCATTAGCCACACTAATAATAATAAAATTCCTATCACTATTAGTAATTGGTCATAATAGTAGTAATACTGTGAGGCCTTCATGAGTAATAATAATGATTGTGATAGCAGCAAACATTTATTGAGCATTTACTGTGCCAAGTGCTGTTAATAGTGAAGTGTTTTTATCTTTTTTTAGCACTTCACTTTCTGTGTTTTAGATAAGCCACGATGCCATTTAATTCTTACAACAATCCTATAAGGTCATTCCAGGAGTCTCCAAATCTCCTTGCACAACCCATCAGAGCACTGAATGTCCAATGTCTGGACCATAATTCCTGAAAGAAGATCGTTCACCCATGTGCTCCGAGGATGTTCACTGTCCCTTGACAAGAAAACAAGACAGACATGGTATCTACCCTGGGAAATAACCACAGAACTGCCCTCTAGATGAAAAACCCTTTTTCCTGTTACAGAGTGGCCATAAGAGCTAAGAGACCAAATCTCCACGGTTCCAGAACCTGATTGGCGGCCTTCCATCTGTAAAAATCTGTTTCTTGCTTTGTATTTTATACTTGAGCAACATCCAAATACTTGTTGTTAAAATCAAAAGCAAATGGAGACCAGCCTTGAGGGTTCCCTGAGCAGATAAAACCAGTTTAGTCATCAGTTTAACTTACTGCCAATCACTGGAGAAAATAAACTGTCCCTGCTTCCTTATTCCCTATGTAAGCTGCTTTATAACACTGGGCCCTGAGCCTCATTCTCCGTTTTGGTTTGAGTGGTCTTGGTTTGCAGGATGGCTTTTTGGTGTGCGCATGATAAATTTTTACTAATCACTAGTTCAGTGATTCATGGGTTTTACTTTGGCTATTTCTGAACCTTTGATATATCGTGGCACCTGAACAGGGACCCAAAGAAGATGAACCCCAGCAAACTCGAGGCTGGTGAGCAAACCAGATGCTGGTACCCACAGAGCTTTGTGTGCTTATGGAGTTTTTGGGTGTCTCTTGGATCCAAGCTCCCCTCTCTCTGCCTTCTGAGCTCTCCAACTGTATTGTGCACACTTGCTTTCTGTTTCTGTTTTGTTTTCTGGTGTCTATTTCTGTTGAAGTTTCCAGGCAAGTCAAACATCCTGTTCAAAAGAAGCGAAAACACACAATCCCCAGCATTTTGGAATCTCTGTGGAAATCAGGGCCCCTCATAGCTAAGATGTTTTAGGGAACCCAAAAGCAAGATAGGATTCCCCCTTGTCCTTGGACCAGGCTCTTGCGCCTTTCTGGAAAAATGGATGAACTTTTGGATATTTGGAATTGTAATGGCCATTCTGGGGAAACCTGGTTTTAGATAAGTCCATCTTAAGAAATATCCTTGAAACGAGAGGATCTCAACCCTTTGGAAGATGATGGAGTGCATGATCTAGTATCCAGAAGCTTTTTAGATACAAAAGACTCCAAAAATAGCTCTAAAGAGATCCTTACAGCATGCAAATAAATATCTTCTGAGCAGGTAACCTTAACTTAGCCCATCTGTCAGAAACACAGTTTGGCTTTAACTATTTTTTTGAGTTTGATACCTGAGACATGGCTAAAAAAATTGAAATTTCTCTGTCTGTCTGTCCATTTAGGTATGTCTGTGAATGATATTATAGATATGACATTTTTCTGCCTCTGGATGGTATTACCAAAATTAATTTGTAAAAAGCTCTATTCCATTGGTTTAAAGACAAACAAGCATTATATAAATTAAGTATACTCTCAGAAATATAGGAACTAACCCAAATGTTTTTCAAGTTCACATAACCTAGGGTAATCTTTGATAAATAAAAGCTAATTTAAGTTTGTTTGTTTAATAAAAGACAGTCATGACTTATTGTTGTCAATATCGAGTATAATGCAAATATATAGCTTTCTATAACTGGGTTTACTAATCAAATAAGCTCATGTTATCTCTTACAAAATTTGTTAACAAGAAAAATAATTTGAAATGATGGTCAGCTGTTTAATGTCTAATCCAAAAGCAAGTAATTCAAATAAATGTAAATAAGATAAATGTTTATAAGTTAACTAAATCATGGATATTCATTGACTGTATGTCATTTCCAAATAAGATCAACATTCCCCCAAATGCTCCTTATATTTTCATGATGTCCTTCAGTCTCTCCCTGTTTTCTTTTCCTCTTAATAAACAGCCTAACTCAAATACAGTTATAGTTCATTTTATTGTGCTTCACAGATGCTGTGTTTTTTGTTTTTTTGTTTTTTTTACAAATTGATAAATTGAAGGCAAGACCCTTCACCAGCCAAAAGTAATGATTCACTTTATTGCAGTGGTCTGAAACCGAACCTGCAAAATCTCCGAGGTATGCCTGTATCTTGTTAAAGAAGACCTACCAAACGGGAACAATTGGATGTTTGTTCTTGGTGTAAAAAGAAAAGAGTTCTTCCTTTAAGCTCAGTAGTGCCTTTATCTTCCTCTCTACCTCACCCCCACTGGCCTGTGAGCTCCTGGGGATGGAGCAGGCCAGGGACTGTCTTATTTCGGTTTCCTGTACCCAGCTACTGTCACAAGGCCTGTCACTTGTTATTATTGTCTCTAACATTGAACACTGTGTGCCATGCCCTGTGCTCCTTGTCTTCTAGATGACGTCATTTCTTTATTCCAATAAACTTAAATGGGAGGTACCACTGTGACCCATCCCAGTTTTTACATGAGGTAAATGTATATATTAAAGCTTAGAAACATTAAGTAATTTGCCCCGAAGTCACACAGGTAGTCAAGTGGCGGAGGCAGATTTAGAACTCAAATAATCAAATAACCCACCTAAAGCATTTTTCAAAGCATGTGGCACCTCCTAAGCATAGAATCAGTATGTGTTGGCTACTAGAATTATCGTCCAAAGTTGAACAACTGGGAAAAAAGTAAAAAAGCTGACACTGTAACTGAAGCTTATTTTGTTTATTTTGCTCCAAAACTCACAAGAATTTAATTAACAGGACTTCTTATAGGTCATAAGAGGCCTAACCACTTACATTTCTGAAGTTTCTGCTATATTTAAAATGTAAGAAATATTAGGTTTCAAATTTTTGATGCATTTTTTAATGTTCACTTTTAATATATTAAAGCTTTTGCCTTACACAAAAATAGAAGTGAGTGAATAACTTCATTTAGACATAAGTTCAAAAACAAGTCTGCTTTCCTTCCCGGAAAAGCCCCTCCAGCGCTCTCTGCGATAGGTTCTGTGATTACAGAAAACTAATTAATACTCCGCTGTCATTACTGGTTACCTGTCTATCTTAAGGGATATCTTAACTCGGAGTCCCCAGCACAATGCCTGGGGTCCAAGACGCATTTCTTGAATAAATGTACAGGGCAACAGTTCGAGTTTGGTTCCAGGACCTCTTACACTCTTAAATATTATTGAGGACCACAGAAAGGTTTTGTGTGTGAGAGTTGTTATACCAATCACTGTTTACTGTATGAGAAATTACTACTTGAGTTAATAAATACTAAAAAAAATTTAAGTTAACACTACACCCATTATATGCTAACTTAAATCATCTTCAAAGGCACACTTTTAAGACCATTAGAGGGAAAACCTTCTTTTCGGACAAGGTTTATGCTTCAGGATTCCTCTACGTATTGCTAGCATGAGAGAGGTCCGACTGAAGGAATAAAAGGAACACCACAAAGACACCAAGAGCCTTTCCCTTTTCCTTTTTCAACAAGTGCTAACGCGGAGTGTTGCCGTAACCCAAGATGGCCACCGCCATGCATATTTCAGCCCGTACAATGACGTCACGCAGCGCCATTCCACTACATTTCCCAGAATGCTCTGCCAACAGCGACGCCATTGGTCGGCGCCGACGGAAATGCACTTGACGGAGCGGAAGTAGAAGATCTCAGAAGCTAGGAAGGTGAAGAAGAGAGGGACTGTGAAGCTGTGAGTAGCTACCTGGGTCTTTCTAATTGGCGGGGAGGGACGCAGCGTGGGGACGAACTGTTGGGAAGTGCGGGGGTGGTCCCTTCTTAATCCTGGGGCCTCAAACTCCTGCGTTCTTCCTGCTGACCTGAGAGCGAGGAGAAAGGAAACTGCTGTGGAGGCGAAATCTCCCTATTACGATATTGCTGTTTTAAGTTTGCTTGACGAGCTGGGGCGAGTTCGGCCTCTTGTCGCGACACAGGGGTCAGTGGCTGATTTTACTGCGAACGGAGGGTGGGGCTGTGACGGTCTGACTCAGCTTCTCTCGCAGTGGTTCGCAAATGGCTGCACATTAGAATCACCTGGGACGCCTTTTTGAAAAATACAGATTCCCTAACCCAACGCCAAACCAGTAAGTCAGAATCTGTGGAGAATAAGGTCTGGGTTAAAGCGCCCCAGGTGTTATGTTGTGCAGCCAGGGTTGGGAACCACTCTTACTTAGTTCCCAGTTTTGACCCCCACGGAAATCCACTGTAACCTGCGTGGGCTTATGGATTGGGGTAAAGTTGATAATCACTGGACAGGGAATGCATTTTGAGTTCCACCAGAAACTTATTTTTTACTTTCCGTGTGGTGGTGCTGGAAGAAAGAGGGTGTGTGTTTTTATTTAGGTCCTGGCTATTTATTCTAAATAAAGCTTCGGGTCACATAATTTATCTTGCCATTGTTTTAACCTCTCCCAATTTTTTGCTATCCGACGAAATGTGAGCAGTGGAAAGTGGAAGAGTCATATTAAAATCGGGCTCTTTTGTTGCTTATGAGAAGTAGCGAAGCCCTGGCCGGTTTGGCTCAGCGGTTAGAGGCCCACGGACCAGTGAGTCGTGGGTTGGATTCCGGTCAAAGGCACGTAGGTACCTACGTTGCGGTTTGGTCCCGGCCCTGGTGGATCGAGGGATAGGCAACCAATCAATGTGTCTCTCTCACTCCGATGTTTCATCTGAAGATAAATGGATAAAATATCCTGGGGTGAGGATTAAAAAAAGAAGTAGTGAACGGGATAGCAGTTAAAATGTCATTTGACATTATTTATGGGCTCATGATAATCTCTTTATATATAATGAATTCTAATAAAAGGAAGTTCGGGTGTGTTTTGCGCTTTGATGGAGAAGTTCATTTACATGTGATAGGATTGTTTTTTAATGTAAGCACCATTGCTTAACATGTTTTCTCTTTTCCCAGAACCAGCTTCACCTCCCTCACTGATTCAGCATGGGGGAGAGGTCAGAAAACTGTAGGGTTCCAGAGGATCTGTTCAATGGTTTGAAAGTTACAGATCCCCAGGAGGCAGAATGTGCTAGTCCTTCGGTTTCTAATCCCAAAGATAGCCAGCCCCAGAGCAAGCTGCTTACGGATGTTGAGCCCCAGGAGGACCAGGGAGAAGAGGAGCACTTTCATGACTGCAGCGCCTCGTTTGAAACGGAGGAACCAGGAGTGGACAAGGTTGAGGACAAACCTGATAATGATGTAAATTCCTCTGAACTCGATGAAGAATACCTATTAGAACTGGAAAAAAACATGCCAGATGAAGAGAAACAGGTAAGTATTTTATTTATTGTGCATGATCTGCCAAATAAACTGCTTTTTAAAGTGAATAAATATGTCTGACACTGTATTATAGACCACTTCGTCTGTGGTAAAGAATAACTTGCCCATTTGTGTCTTTATTGCTTTAGTGGTGATGGATCTGAGATAAATCAGTAGCATGACAGAGAAGCATAGAGTGTGTCTGGTTAGCAAAATTTTCCTTTCTTTTTTTTTTGGTGAACTTTGATTTCTTATATTTACTTTTGTGTAATTATTTTCTAACCTGTATATATACCTTTTAGCTTTTTTATTTGAATTTTTTTTTTTTTTTTTTTTTGGTATGTGCTCCTAGCAGGAACTAAACCCGGGACTCTCTGGTCCACAGGCCGACGCTCCAATCACTGAGCCAAACCGGCCAGGGCACCTTTTAGCTTTTTTGTGACCTTATTTATGGTTGGCTGCTGAAATTCTTGTAATGGACATTGTTTTGTCAGACTTTAGAGTTATGGAATGCTGCCTATTTATAGTAGTCCTTGTTAGCAAAAAAGGACTGTCTGAAAATCCTGATGGTGGTTGAGTTACAGTGGGGAGTGACTGGGGCTTGTATCATTTACACAGAGTTCTCAAGGAACAGAATTGTGTATGATAGGAGCTGTAATTTGTTAAGCACCTGTAATGTGCCAGCCGAGCTTAAAATAATACTTGTTTTCATTTAATCTTCACAACATGCCTAATGAAACATACCGTTGGCATCCTTCATAAGAGAACAGAGTTCAGAGTGGTAAAGTACATTGCCCAGGATCACACATCTAATAAATGGCAGAACTGATTCTCAAACCCAGATCTGTTTGATTCCAAAGGAAAGAAAACATACTGTAGAGTTTAGTAACAAAATTAACTGTTTTCCTACAAGGCCAGTACACGAATAAAATGTACACCTTCCTGCTTCTTTGCCTCAGGGCCCCATCCTTAACTGGGCAAGCTTTCACTTTTGGAGACAGGAGTCTTGGTGTCCTCTACATACCCTGATTTCATAAGCAAGGTTGTTGAAGAGTTACCATAATATCTGAGCTTGTCTGCAGAGAACTTGAACAAGACTCATTGTTTAGCCTGTGAGGAGTTTGCTCACTAAACGGGTTATGATAGATGGGTAATAGGCTGAGATAATAAATGAACAGTGACAGGCACTTGTCATTATTAAGTCTGTTGGTTTTAACATGCATGTGTTAACTTTTGTGCTAATGTATGCCACCAGTAGAGGAGGATAAAGGACAGAAATGAGTGAAGTTCATAAACTGCCTCAGCAGAAATGGCTCAGAAAATTAAATCAAGTGTTATTGGATAACATTAGGGAATTGATTTCCCAGAAAATGAATGTTTGGTTCAGCTTTCATATCGCTAGTGCAGACTTTTTAGAAAAACAGTTATGTTAAAATGGTAGCAGTTTTCTGATGCCTTAATATATATTTGTGCCTTGTTATCGCAGTGTATTTTCTATAGTGTCATCGGTTTGGCTCAAGTGTTATACATAGTCTGCACCCCATTCCCAATTTGCAAAACTTTTTTGTGTCTTCTGGCCAGGAAATCACATTTTAAATTCTAGAAGTATTTAAAATTATTTTTATTACCAATTAATTGTATATTCTAAATAGCACAATACTTTTTATAAACTTTTAAAATTTGAGATATAATTTACATATAGTGAAACTGTTGATGTTCTAATGTACAATTTATTGGGTTTTGACAGCTGTATGTAACTCACCCTATCAAGAAAGAGAACTTTCCATCATGCCAAAAACTTCCTTTGTGTGTTTGATCATCCGTTCCTTCTCCCAACCCCACCAGCCCAGGGAACCACTGTTCTGATTCCTATCCCATTGGTTGGTTTTTCCTGTTCCGGACTTTTATATAAATATAATCACTTTTAAAATTGTTAAAACCGCCCTGGCCGGTTTGGCTCAGTGGTTAGAGCGTCGGCCTGCGGTCTGGAGAGACCCGGGTTCGGTTCCCGCTAAGGGCACGTACTTGGTTGCAGTTTGTCCCCAGCCCTGGTTGGTCGTGCGGGTGGCAGCCACTCGATGTGTCCCTTCATGTCGATGTTTCTCTCTCTCCCTTGCTCTCTCTCCCTCCCACTCTATCTGTACAAAAAAATGGAAAAATATCCTCGGGTGAGGATTAAAATTGTTAAAACCCTTGGAATTTTATATTTTATATATTACACCCTATGTTTTCATAGCTTAATTTGAAAGTTTGTAATAATATCTCCTAGAAATAATATGCTACAGTGATAGTCATTATTTTATAGAAGTGTAAACCATTAACTCCATTGTAAGAAAACAACCTATGTATGAGAATGCAGACTGCCTTTAGCTAATTGTGGAATACTCTGATAGTTATTTTTATGCTGTTCTGTGAAATTATTAGGAAACCAGCAAAACAATTGAAGAAATATCTCTCTGCTGCATTATGTTTAGATTTTATAGGTCATTGGGAGCAGGATATCTTTAAACTTGACTCGTAAAGTGTACAAAATTCAAATAATTGAACAACAACAATGAAAATAAGCACAAATGGCAAAAAAAAATGTGAAAAGACTTTAATAATGTAAATTAAACATTATGTCTCATCAATCAGATCAGAACATTAATCTGATGTTGATAAGAGGATATAGGAACTCCTGTTGGGAGTTTACATTGCCACAACATTTTTATGGGATACAACTATCAAATTTTATATGCACTTTTCTTTAGACCAGGACTGTCAATAGAACCTTCTGCAATGACAGAAATGTTCTTTATTTATACTGTCCAGTACGGTAGCCACTGACCATCGGCTACCACACATCACATGTGACTGGAGAGTACCATACTGGACAGCACAGCTTTAAACTTCTGATTCTCTTCTAGTCATTTCTTTTAAGGATGTTATTAGAAATATGCATATATGTATATGGAAAGATGTGTTGCAGCATCATAATTTTGGAAATCCAGAAATAATATTAAATAGAAAGTATTACTTTATTACTTTTGGCATATTTATGCAGTAGTGTACAATGAAGTCATTAAAAAGGAGCTAAATCTTAGAAATGACATGGAAAGATGCCCACAGTATAATGTTAAGTGAATTAAGCAGGTGTGATAATATGATTTATAAAGAAATATATATTTGGTATTTGTCTAGTTCTTGGCACAAAGTACCTAAAACCCTTGGAATTTCTTAAGTGGTAAGAGATAAAGGTGTATTTTATTCATAACAGACCCCTTTCCACCGCACCTAAGTTAATGTTAACAAGGTGACCTTTGGAAAGCCTCTAAGGATGTGGTCAGGTTGTCATTTTGGAGCTTTCAGCCTCACCTCTTGAGAGGGGAGAGGGCATAGAGGTTGAGTTAATCATTGATGACCCATGATTTGATCAGTTGCTGACCAAGGGCTCAGGAAAACAATTTCCTTACTAGATAACTAGTTTATTATAAAGGATGTAACTCAGGAACAGTTGGATGAAAGTGATGCACAAAGCAAGCTATGTGGGAAGGGGAACATCCATGACCCTGGGTGTGTAACCCTCCTAGCATCTCCATGTGTTTATCAACTCAGTTCTCTGAACCCCATCCTTTTGGATTTTTAATGGAGTGTTCATCAACAGCATCAAAAGTTATTTTCATTATTGAGAATATAAATAAAAATTGAATCTTAACAACCAAGATGAACTTTTTACCAAAAGCACATAAAACTTCCTTTGAGGATTTGGAAAAGAAGTGCTATCATAAGATCTATATATTGCTATATGTTTCTCTTTGGGCAGAATCAAGTATCAATAGCCAAAGTCTGAGGTCCCCGGCTAGCTCAGTCAGTAGAACGTGAGACTCTTAATAGCCAAAGTCTGTTGTTCAAGCTGACTTGATTTGCCCTGTGGCTGAGAAGATAATCTAAGCTCAGGAGTGCAGAACTCATAAACCAAGAATAAGTAAGGAAAAGGAAAGCAGTTGAGATTTGGTAAAAACAGGAAAAAAAATTTTTTTTTTTTGGTTCAGATAGAGTGGGAGGGAGAGAGAGGAAGAGAAAGAGAGAGAAACATCGACGTGAAAGGGACACATCGAGTGGCTGCCACCCGCACAACCAACCAGGGCCGGGGACAAACTGCAACCGACGTATGTGCCCTTAGCGGAAACTGAACCCAGGTCCCTCTGGACTGCAGGCCGACGCTCTAACCGCTGAGCCAAACTGGCCAGGGCCAGGAAAAATTTATTAAGGAAAGCAGTGTGTGTGTGTGTGTTTCAGCAACAAATCTTAACTATTTGTGAAAACCTAACTGTAGACATGACAACCCAGAGGAATGGGATTTTCGCTGACGTTTAAGATGTACTAGCTGCAAAGCAAATACGTGCTTCTGGAAGGCTTGGCTGAGGTGAAGGACAGATCTGGTGGAGATGAGAATTATTGCTATAACATTAATGACACAAAGATGCATATAGTATTGGAACCTATAGAATATACTGTATTGTGGTATTGATCCTGCAAGAGAATCACCTTTTATGGGCTACTTGTCACAGTGGAGTTCTTAGGCCTCGATGTAGTTCCCTGGGTAATTCTTAAGCACACTAAAAGTTTGAGAACCACAGTCATGGGGCCTTGCACATAGTCTTTCTTCATTAAATAGCTGTTGAATGAATAGTATGGTTATTTTTCCTATGAGGGCCAATAATTGGTCTTACAAGTTAGATTTTTTTTTTTAACCCTTCTTTTTACCCAGATGTGATTGATTTCTGGATGGCTGTACTTGGCTTAAAAATTTATTTTCTTGCCCTGGCCGGTTTGGTTCAGCGGTTAGAGCATCGGCCTGCGGTCCTGAGAGACCCGGGTTCGGTTCCTGCTAAGGGCATGTACCTCGGTTGCAGTTTGTCCCCGGCCCTGGTCGGTCGTGCGGGTGGCAGCCACTCGATGTGTCCCTTCACATTGATGTTTCTCTCTCTCTCTCTCTGTTCCTCTCTCTCCCTCCCACTCTACCTGAACAA